GAAAGTTGAACAAGCTTTTTACGGTGTTGGTAAAATACAAGGGCAAAAATTTCCCAGCTACTAGTTCTCGCCAGTCAGGAAAATATTGCTTGTAAATTTCCAGAGGACGGACCAGTATATCTTGTCGCTCTTCTCTCTCACCCTTCGCCGTTTGATTTACTCCTCGTTCATTTTTTCCTCTCGTTTTTTCCGCTCTCTCCTTTCCGCGTATTTTCGACTATAACTCCGATGAAGCGGCTCTCTCGTTCATTCTCTGTCATCGTAAATTTTTGTCGCCGCGATGGAACTTGTGATTATACGTTGCTTCGAAAACGCACTCTTTGTGTGTCGCGAATTTTTATTTCCTTCGCTGCTAAGTTCTCTGCAAAGTGTTTTTTAAATTGCACTTTTCATTCCTGACACGAGACGAATGTTTCTCAAATTTTTCTGAAGTGTGATTAGAACTAGTCAAGATACATTCGAAATAATCGTGGAAAAGCTACTCGAAAGTTCGTGTTGGTTTGAATATTGAAGTGATAGATAAATATTGAAAGAAACTTTAACTTGAAGAGTTATTGCAACGTTCAGTAACTAAATTAGAAGCATCATCGATTAATGAATTGATTTCCTCGACGTCGAACAATTGGTGGAGAACTCAACGCACTGAAAATACCACGCGTGGAGAACTCAACGCGTTGGAGATACCACGCGTAGAGAACTCAACGCGTCGAAAATACCACGCGTGGAGAACTTAACGCGTCGAAGATCCCACGCGTGGAGAACTCAACGCATCGAAAATACCACGCGTGGAGAACTCAACGCGTCGAAGATCTCACCCGTGGAGAACTCAGCGCGTCGAAGATACCACGCGTGGAGAACTCAACGCGCCGGAAATACCACGCGTGGAGAACTTAACGCGTCGAAGATCCCACGCGTGGAGAACTCAACGCGTCGAAGATACCACGCGTAGAGAACTCAACGCGTCAAAAATATCATGCGTAGAGAACTCAACGCATCGAAAATACCATGCGTAGAGAACTCAACGCGTCAAAGATACCATGCGTGGAGAACTCAACGCATCGAAAATACCACGCATAGAGAACTCAACGCGTCGAAGACACCACGCGTGGTGAACTCAACGCGCCGAAAATATCACGCGTAGAGAACTCAACGCACCGAAAAAGTAGTACAAGTCAGCGCATAATCGGACGCTTAAAGGCGAACAACGAGTCGTTTAAAAGCGATATTATTTCGATGGAAATCAATGGCAAATAGCAGAGTGACTAATTACTAAGGTAACTCCATCAAAGTATTCAACTAGTCAGACGCATAACTCCGGCAGGGTAATCAATACTTCATTTGAACTTGGGAGCAAGTAGTTGGAGACAATGACTAGTCGGGGCTCCCTCGAAACACCGCAATTACGCCCGTGGATTTCCAAGCGGAACTATCGTTCATTAACAGTTTGACACTGTCTGCTATTATAGTATGTAATTTCTATTAAGTGACTCGCGATATCCTTCGGCCCCTTTTACAACAAATTTCAATAATAACCTTCCTTTGCCTATGACTATGGAAACAATTGCGAATCTCGATAGCTTCATTCAGTATTTGTTATAGAAATTTTATTAACTGGTCTATGCAATTTATTCTTCAAATTTAATGTAGTGAAGGTTCATTCTTGAATTTGTATTTTGACAAATTTTTGCGTCTTCCAATTTTTATACTCGTAAAAGTGTCTGTCTTTAAATACCTGTGTTTACAGATATTTGCAAGCCCAAATTTCTGTATTGCAAATCATCAAATTACCAAACACTTATGCCCGCAACATTGAACCTCTAACAACAAGTTTGGACCCAAACTCGCGTCCGAAACTCCATCGTCGAAATTCGCAAATTCGGTTAACTATAATTGTTATCTCACAGTGAGCTCCGCAGTGAAAATTAACGCGTTAATTACCAAGAGACTTCCAGTAGATAGGAAGCGCACGACGTATGAACCTTCTGTCCCGAATCCCAAAATATTTTCCCAAAGTTGTAAAAGCGGGATCGCATACTGATATATCTGTCGTATCTCGACAAAGCTCCAGTTTCCGTTTCCTAAAATCCTCGAATATCGAGCACCGCGATAGGGAGAAACTTTGTTTCCCCGGAACCGTTGTCAGGAAATCGGGTTCGCTTCTGTTGTTCCACAGCTGGCGTGTGTTAGTGTATCGTTTTCTTTCGATGAAGTAAGACGCATCCACAACGGAGAAGTTTCACTTGTCGAACGTGTGTCGGGACTGGCGAGCGTTTGCGGGATTAGTTTAAAGTTTGTTGTTTCTTCGAAGAAAGCGCGGTTTGTTTCTTTGTTCGATGTAATGGCACAGAAATTGCGCTGGATTCTCCCCCATTTATTCTCGATGTTATTCTTTATTCTCCGTTTTCCTGTCACAGGAAATGCGCTGCACAATTTAAGAATGTATATTTGCTGGAAGGACATTCGTATTGTTCTTTATCCCAGTAATGCATCGTTCTGCTTGGTTTTAACTGTTATTTAGGAGCTGGTTCTACGAGTGATCTAATAATTTCTTGTTACCGATTGCCAACTTAAATCTTCCTGGAAAATAATATACCAGGGCTGTAGTAATGGTTTCTGTTATTTCTGTCGAGGTTATTTATTTGTCTGACCAGTAATCTCATACTACTTGTTTAAAAACTTTAACTGTCTTTTGCATTTGACATTGCTACTCATTTCACTGTCAGTTGTATGGTTTAGCCATTGACAGTATGTACTTTTCTTACAAGTAACTGTACTCCACTTGTCTGACCTCATACTACTCGTCTGACCTCAGTGGATCTTATACTACTTGTCTGACTAGCGTCTCTATCTACTTGTCTGACCATGAGTCTCGTTATGCTTCTCCAACTAATGTCTCAATCTACTTGTCTGACCATGAGTCTCGTTATGCTTCTCCAACTAATGTCTCGATCTACTTGTCTGATCATGAGTCTCGTTATGCTTCTCTAACTAATGTCTCAATCTACTTGTCTGACCATGAGTCTCGTTATGCTTCTCCAACTAATGTCTCTATCTACTTGTCTGACCATGAGTCTCGTTATGTTTCTCCAACTAATGTCTCAATTTACTTGTCTGACCATGAGTCTCGTTATGTTTCTTCAACTAGTGTCTCAATTTACTTGTCTGACCATGAGTCTCGTTATGCTTCTCCAACTAATGTCTCAATCTACTTGTCTGACTATCAGTCTCATACTACTTCTCCAACTAATGTCTCAATCTACTTGTCTGACTATCAGTCTCATACTACTTCTCCAACTAATGTCTCAATCTACTTGTCTGACTATCAGTCTCATACTACTTCTCCAAATAATGTCTCATATTTACTTGTCTGATCATCAGTCTCATACTACTTTTCCAACTAATGTCTCAATCTACTTGTCTGACCAATAACCTGTCTGATCGACTTGTCCAAACACTATTCGTCCACCTGCCTCTCTAATACTTGTCAGGTCGATCTACTTTTCTCCCAAGACAACTACTTGTACTCCTATAATATTTACCAAAATTAAAACTAGTAATTGATGCAAGATAAACGGTAGTTCGCAACAGTTTCTCAATCATGACTTCTTATTTTAGTAATCCGACATTTCACATGCACCGGCCCTGATATAATTAACTTCTTGATTGAAATAACGTTTCGCAAGCAGAAAGTTTGCCGGAGGTTCGTCAGCGAAGTACTCGGAGCAGCGGCTTTGCGAAGAATTTCACGCGCGCGTTTCCACGTGAATTAATGAACGAACGGTGTTCTCTCCTAATTACCATAAGAGCGGAAGGAGGCCACCGCGGTAATAAAAGAAGCGGCGAACGCGTTACACTTCGATAAATCGAGTGTATTATACCTTTTTCAGCTCGACGGCTCGAAACGTGCCACGCGTTCGACTTCGTGGAAAATTGCTTGCGAAAGTAGAAATTAGAGACGCGTGCAGCTTTGAGGCTGGAGAGCCGCGAACTTTTCAACGAGCTTTGAACCTCGCGGTATAGTCGCAAAGACACTTTCGAATCGAAGCAACCATCGGCCTCCTTTCGCACTACTGCGAAACCTTCCAGATGCTTTCGGAAGAACCTTCTTATTTACCCGGAAAACTTGATATGTTTATGAAAGACAGATATCATAGTCTAGACATAGAAACACGTCACTTAGAAAATATGTCTTAAGTATTGAAATAAAATGCTTCAATTTGAGCTGGAGTTGTGATATGAACATTTTTATGTATGCACACATTGTTGAATATAATTAAAATATTGAATAATTAACATTTTTATATATGCACACATATTGTTGAATGTCATGAAAATATTGAAAAATGAACATTTTTATATGAACGCACTTGTTATTGAATATAATAAAAATATTGAAATATGAACATTTTTATATAAACACACTTATCATTGAATATAATTAAAATATTGCAAAATGAACATTTTTATATAAAGACACTTATCATTGAATATAATTAAAATATTGAAAAATGAACATTTTTATATAAACACACTTATCATTGAATATAATAAAAATATTGAAAAATGAACATTTTTATATAAACACACTTATTATTGAATATAATAAAAATATTGAAAAATGAACATTTTTATATGAACACACTTATTATTGAATACACTAAAAATATTAAATTAGAACACCTGTACACAAGATCACAAGTATTGATGTATTAAACTTGAAGTAACAATACACACATTTTCATGCACACACACAATGTATAACAAAAATAATTATTTACACAAGTTGCTATATAAAGACTTCCCATAAATTTCACCTGTTTAATAAACAATGTAATACAACCTAGTACAAGATAAAATATAATGTAACGCTGAATTAGTTAACGCAATGTACCGTCATGGCGTAGTCCAATAAAATGGCGGGAAGACGCGGAACAAAATGGCGGTCACTCGATGAAACATTCAGCCTACCGTTGTTTACGTTCGTTTGCGGTTTGTTGCAGGGCTGGCACACGGTATCAGATGTTACAAATGCGGACAGTACAACGAGGGAGTAGGCAGTATTACGCCATGCATCAATTACACCGCTCACATGCATCTGAAGGAATGTCCATCGTCGGCCGAGTGGTGCATCGTAAGTGGATCTCGTATGTTCCCGTAGACATAGAACATTCGCGAAATAACGAATTCCCGTCGTGGCTGGAATTTCGAGACGTCGGAATCGTTGAATCCTTCCGGTACTTCCGGTCACCCGACCCCATGAATATTTCAAACAGTTACGACCCTGGATTTCTTCCTAAGCTGCCTGCAGATTTTTCATTCGCCTGTTTCTTACGGAACGCTGCTATAATGGACCTTGCAAATCGAATATACGCTCGCGGAATTTGCTGCGATGCGGATTTCAATATTTAAATTTAATAGCTTCCCTGTTTCTCGTATTTCGAGTTTAATATTTAACACTGAACCTACCGACATGTATACTTAGAAGTTAGAAATGAATTTGAAAAATGAATAAACAAACGACAAAACATAAAATAGTACACGCATTTATCGACATCTTTATCGACATATAATACATGTAATATAATGTGTGTATCTAACTTAGTTAGAAGTTAAAAATGAATTTGAAAAATGAATAAACAAACGACAAAACATAAAATAGTACACGCATTTATCGACATCTTTATCGACATATAATACATGTAATATAATGTGTGTATCTAACTTAGAAGTTAAAAATGAATTTGAAAAATGAATAAACAAACGACAAAACATAGAATAGTACACACATTTATTCTTTATCTCGTTGAAAGTCAATATTGATTTCAAGGCATGTTCTTTAACAAAATGTATACTTTATAATAAGAAACTTGTGGAGCCTTTTGACCGGTTTGGTAGTTTTAGTGTTAAAGAGATGGAGATTGTTGGTTTTGGAAATGAGGATATTTGGAAAATTGAAATTTCAAGAATTTGAAAATATGGAAGTTTTGAAACTTTGGAGGGTAGGAAACTGAACTTGCAAATATAGGAGCTTGCTTACTTGGAATTTTAGAAATTTGAAAATTTGTGAGATTGGAATTCTTGAGACGTAAAAATTTTGAAACTTATGAGCTTGGAAATTTGCAAATTGGAAGACTTTGGAAAACCTTGAATTGGAAATCTTGAAATTTGGAAAACCTTGAATTGGAAATCTTGAAATTTGGAAAACCTTGAATTGCAAACCTTGAAATTTGGAAAACCTTGAATTGGAAATCTTGAAATTCGCAATCCTTGAAATATAGAAATTAAAAAATTCCAAGATCGTAACAAAGGTCGCTGAATAATTACCAATTCCATGAACGATGACACTCCTTCACTCAAGTCCTATAAATCTCCCCAAATTCCAAGTGCAATAAATTAACGATCGAATCACTGTCGATACCAAAAAGCCTTCCAAAAAAGTATCTCCAAAGATTCCTCTAAAAGCAGATCTCGCAAGTAAATCTTGAAAACTCGGTGAATTGAAAACAAAGTCCCTAAAACCCTCCTTTCATTAACAAAAATTAACATCACTTGGTAAAAGAAATTCCAAGAACAGCCAAAAATATATCTTGGCTAAAAATAGAGTCCAGAGAACGGACAAACATCGGAATCATATTTAAGGTTCATTTTCATTAGTCTGAAAGCTATCCCACGCGATCATCGGGCTTTTTATGTTATCAATGTATCGTTTCTACCTTTTATTAAATTTTCCTTTCGCCGCAGGAAGCTGAGTCATATATACCTTTTGCAACGTCCAATTTTCTACTTTTCTATTATTAACTGTTCAAGAATTTCGTCAAGTATCTCTGTTGACCAGCTACGAAAACAGAGTCATGCGTCTTAATTTTCATCAGGCTAAAAGCTCTTGTAGCGAAGATCGACTCAATTATTCCTTTTCGTTGCCAAAATATTTGATTATGTTATTCTGCATTCTGGATTCTGTTGATCAGCAGAATTGTCCCTTCATGTTTCTTTAGTTTGGAGGGGAGGATATTTTTATGTAACACACGTTATTTCCACGCATTCTATTTCCTACGCATTTTATTTCCTACGCATTCTATTTTCTACGCGTGGTAATTTCAACATGTTGCATCCCATACGTTGTATCGCTAGGATAGGTAATTTCCACGCACTGTAATTCTTGTTATACTCTTTACGCTTTGCACTTTCCACGTGTTATACTTTCACCACTCTGTATTTCCCACCGTTCTACGTATTTCCCACCGATCTGATTTTACCACGCATCTTATTTACAGGCGTTGTAATCTCCAGTCGTTGTCTCTCCACCCATCCCTCCACATCATTTCAATTTCAATTCGCCCATTTATTCTAGCCTCCATATATAACAAAATCATAAAAGAGTTTCACCAAACTAAAAACCCTCTAAAATTAAATAAATACGCTTGCAGATTTATCTTGTATTTTCTCAATAAATTTCGAAATTAATTTAGCGAAGAAAGAAACGTGGAGAAGTACAATGTTCGTGAAACAAGAAAAAGAAAGATAAATGCATCGAACAAAGGACAACGGGAGTTGTAGGATTTCTCGGAATTTCTAGTTGGTCTCTTCGCCGTATCTTTTTCTGCCCATGAATAATTCGATGAAGCGTGATCAGTTTGCGGAGAAGCGAGGGATCGATGGTATCGAGATGCTTCTTGAAATATTTCGAGCCCGGTGGATTCCGGTTTCATCGACTCCGGCCGTGATTCAATTGAGTCTGACCATCTGGAATATTTATGGGACACCATTGGTTACGGGAGAATAGACATCAATGCGAAAATTGAGATCGATTCGGTGGCATTGTCGATCGGTGGGGTAGCTTCGTTCTGGCATACGCCTGCTTCGTTCTGCTCCAATAATTGTCCAATGAAACTTCCATAAAGCTTCTTTCATTTTCATTCGATCGAATTATTCTTGTTATTCGTATGAAAATTTCATATGCTATACTTCATAAACTGTTCACTTAATTAAACTCGTCACTTGCAAATTTCGTAGTTTATATATTTAACTACTTGTATGTCAGTTACTTGGTCTATAGTTGACTGTATCTACTTGTCTGACCATTGACGATATATACTACTTACGTGACCAATCACTTACCAAGCACTTGTCTGACTATTCACTGTATTCTACTTGTCTGACCATTAATCATAATCTACTTGTCTGGCTATTCACTGTATTCTACTTGTCTGACCATTAATCATAATCTACTTGTCTGGCTATTCATCGTAATCTACTTGTCTGACCATTAATCATAATCTACTTGTCTGGCTATTCATCATAATCTACTTGTCTAACCATTCACTCTAGTCTGACCATTAACCATATTCTACTTATTTGACCTTGCACCGCATGCTACTTGTCTAATCACTCAGCAGACACTTGTCATTCATCACTTGTGTGACTATTCAAATACTACTTGTCTGACCATTCACTATATACTACTTGTCTAGTAATTCACCACACACTACTTGTCTGACAATTACATATCACTAGTCTGACCATCAGCTATATTCTACTGGTTTGAGAATGTGTCACTTATTTTATTGCCAGTCATGTGCTATTTATTTATGATTCAATTGTTTGTACTCATTCTACTATCAGTCATATACTACTTCTCTGACTAACAGTTACATTCTACTTGTCTGATTAAGAGTCACATACTACTTGTCTGATTAACAGTTACGTTCTACCTGTCTGATTAAGAGTCACATACTACTTGTCTGACTAACAGTCATATACTACTTGTCTGATTAACAGTTACATACTACTTGTCTTATTAACAGTTACATACTACTTGTCTGGCTAACAGTCACATTCTACCTGTCTTATTAAGAGTCACATACTACTTGTCTGACTAACAGTCATATACTACTTGTCTGATTAACAGTTACATGCTATTTGTCTGATTAACAGTCACATTCTACTTGTCTGACTAGCAGTCCCATACTACTTGCCTTATTAGCAGTTACATATTACTTGTCTGATTAACAGTTACATTCTACTTGTCTTACTAACAGTCACATTCTACTTGTCTGATTAGCAGTCCCATACTACTTGTCTGATTAAAAGTTACATTTTACTTGTCTGACTAACGGTCACATACTACTTGTCTGACTATCAGCCTCACACTACTTGTCTTATTAGCAGTCACATACTACTTGTCTGACTACGAGCTGCATACTACTTGTTTGACCAGCAGTCACATTTTACTTGTTTGATTATCAGTCTCATATTTTGATATTCTTGAATTAAAGGTGAACCAGTTCGGCATAATTCAAAGACGCATCAAAGAGGCATGTCTACAATTACATTCCTGAGCAGTTGCTCGCATTCGTGCAACGACACCGTCGCACCGATCCCGCGGGAATCCTCAAATGTACACGCTCGACAGCTCGATATTGGAGTAGCAAAATGTTAATTAATACCCGCCAGATTCAACCTCTTGGCACTAATTTGAAGGCTACGTAGAGGACGGTGCATTAACAATAATGTGGTCATCCTATCTGGACCAAGTGAACAGGGACTCGGAGATAATCAACTGTTTTCGCGTTTAATCTTCTCCTTTCCATTTTTAAAGTTTCTTATCCTTTATGCTTGTTCTCATTACAAAGATACACAATTGCAAAGATACATAATTATCACAGTGGTTCAGACATTGATAATTTTTTACTTCTAGCATTTTACATTCATTACTTCTTGAATCAAGTTGGACCTCTTTATTTGTAAATGCATGCTTCAATTTTTGATCGAGGACTCGTTGTGAATGCAGAAACGCACGGTATGTCGATTAGGTCAGTAGGAGAGAATATTCTTTCTGACTGGAATCTGACGAACGGAATGGAGAGATCGTCGATAACCAAGCCGATTTCCAGCGATCGAATCTGCTCTTTATTGGTATCAATCGACTATCTCGAAATCTGGCTGCCACGTTGTACCGGTATTCGAGTATTCACAGGGGATAGGAATCTCTGGAATGAATTGTGCAGGTCTATGGAAGATGGAATCTCGTTCTCAAGTCGCTGTCGATTCCTTCATGGGTCACAGAAGCCTCTGCAGCTCCCAGCTTGCGATTTATCGGCCTTACAAATTTATTATAACGACTGTGACAGC